CAAGCACCACGTGGTAGCATTATTTTCTGTCACTGAAAACATGTGCTGGCGCCGGTGTTGGCCACGTTATGACCCACTCAAGAAGTGATAACGTAATTCAACCAATTTTAGTGCACAAGCCACCTAGCAAACTAGCTGGAATATAATTTGAGTTAATGGCTTATGCTCAAGGTAGAGCCGAGGAAAAAAACAAAAGGTGTTGTGAGCCCAAGTAGAAACACTTCCCGATGTAGCATGGTGCACACAATAAGTGCCAAGTGAGGCTGGCGACAGCGGCTCGCCACACGGGTCTGGTATGTACACCGACATTGCCTCAGAAGCCAAACGCTGCAAACATAGCTCGGTAAGTTCCCTGCAAGGGTGGATGTCTTACAATGCCGGTGAAGGGCTCTAGTTCTCAAGAAATTAGAACTATCTTCTCCTGGGATCAAATCTGATTGCTTCCTATTCAGCTAACGATGATTCCTACGGGTTTAGCAGTTCTCATGAATATAATAATAGCACGTTCTGTTTACAATAAATTATTTTATTATTAATTAAAAAGCGAGCTGAACCCTTAAGAGTCATACAGCTGCAAGAAATATAAACGATAATTGTAGGGAGATGCCACAGGCTGCCTTTATATACTGTATTAACTTTCCCTAGTAGGTACTACGTTATTCAATTAATTACAAAAGGCATAAAAGGTTCCAATTACAAGTGCAAGTTTAACTTTGTCAATCGTATACGTTATTAATTATCATCGCTTATAATAAGTTTCGTTTACATTCGTGAATAACTGCGTATTACACAGCCATCCGTTACAAGAGTGATTAACTTACTGACAACCGCTTAACAGGTTACGGCTACTCGCGGCTGCACAAACTGATTTCTTTGACCAGCATTTACAGTTAGCGTTGGCGACCAGTTACGCCAGTGATGGTTACCCACGGCTGATGGTGGTGGGGATGAAGCTTTACAGTTACCCTCTCTGGCTAGCACAGACCTGCTGCTGCTGCTGCTGCTGCTGCTGCTGCTGCTGCTGCTGCAGCAGCATTCACATTCACCACTGCTTTATAATGGTGGACGCTGTTACCTCGCTTAAGCAATGAAAAGCAACACACTAATAACATTGATCAGCACTATGATAACCATCAGCCATGATCTAATGAACAGTGTTAAGACTAAGCAGCGCGAGCTGCCTCATTAAGTGTGAACTACGTTCTACAAATCATTCTTCTTGGGCACAAAGCTTTTAGGGGACGGGAGGGGGCGATGATGCTGATGAAGGAATCTTCATTCAAGGAGTTTAAACTACCCTTTCCTTACTAGGATCAAAGCTGGTAACCTTATTCTCCAAACGCTGTATGACCCCTACGGATTTAGCGCTTCGCCATTAATAATAATAATAATAATAATAATAATAATTAGTGCAAAATTTCATTAAGTTACTTGGACTCACGAAATCGTAATGACACGATTGCAAACAAACCATACCACGAGTGGGGTTTGAACCCGCTGTCAGTCTCAAAACTCCAGACCGTCGTGTTAGCTAGCTGGCCCAGTGGCTACCGCGATGGTCTGGAGTTTTGAGACTGACCGCGGGTTCAAACCCCACCTGTGATATGGTTTCATTAAGTAACATTTAACGAAGAATTGCAATAAAGACAAATTCACTGTTACCTACTTCCATAATTATTATAGCAGAGTAATAATGAAGAAATGATCATAAAAACCACACGAAATTCAATAAAAATGGGTAACTTAAGTAAATACCCATAACTCTAAGAAGTTATACTTCCCGCACATGACTTCTCGCTCCTATCTATATAATTTCTTTTTCCCGGGTATATTCTACTGACTTGAAAAAGTCAGTTGTAGTGCTGAACAAGTGGAACGAATAAAATTTCCGATTGCTGCTTTTGTGTGTACATTAGAGTCCTGGACTACCTCTAGGAAATCGCTGGACGCCAATTTTTAGTCAAAGAATTTATCAATTTGGCTAAAATTAAAATTGCCTCAGAATTATCACATTATTGAAACGCGAAGCCTCAGCAATTCCGTTTCAAGGTCTCCCTCGGTCACTTGATGAAATAGTTCAAGTTTATACTGACAAAGTGCTCTTACACCTCCCTTTCTTGTGCCTATCAATCAGGAATAATTTAAATAATTCAGTGCGACATTCGCCAGGCATGACTCGACTCATTAAATTAAACCATGTTTTGGTTAGCGCAATAATATCAACATTTCCCGCATTTGTTCCAAAGCTACGACTATTTGTATAATTTATGCTGAAAAGGTTTTTTCTTCAGTATCCTTAACCCCATTCATCTTTGCCTTTCCATTATTTTTGTTTTTATCAGTATCAAACGTTTCTGAATGTGGTTGTCTTACGCGTTTTACTTTATTATCTTGTCAACTTATCTTTAAAATCCATAGCACTCAATACCAACCCCCCTTCTCTCTCGCTCTCTCCCTTCTCTCGCTCTCTCGCACACACGCACACTTTAAAACTTTGATTAAAAAACTTTACTTGTATAATGACTTTCATTAGTTTGTATAAAATAAATAGCTATTGTACATTTCTTGTGTAACTATATCAGCAAAGAGACGAAAAGCGGCTGTTTGGAATCCTTTATTACGACGTTTCGCCAAGAAAGTGGGCTGTTGCTGCAGTGTATCACACTTTAAACTGATGAAAGTTAATAGGTACCTGGGTGTGTTCGTTGCATCCTAGGAGAGACCACCACCAAGCTTCAGCTTCAAGATCCTGCTCAGCTTAAAAGTTATCAGGGGTCATTAAACCACTAGGTTACTAATCAGAGTATTACTAACATAACTATTATTTACATTACTATTATTATTATTACCATTATTACTATCATTAAAAAACAACGCCAAACCCAATGAGCAATTCATTCCGATAAACAGCCATCTTCCAGTTGTTGTTTTTATCGTATAAATAAATTGCGTATATCCTACAGAGGAATACCGAAGTAAACACTTACAATAACCAGCAACGCCTATCACATAGATAAGTTAACAGTGACATTTAATTAACAAAAAAGAGGTCACAACTTTCAACTGGCGTAGATATACTTGTACAAAAACATGAATGATTCAACAATTCCAGCCTTCGTAAACAGGTGTTTCAGCCTCAGAAAAAAAAATCAAGACTATTTAATAATGGATTGTCATCGTGCAGCATAATGTTACGACTTTCTTAAATGATTCGATGAACATGCATTTTACTTAATTCGCTTATAAGGAGATATAGTGTGTCGAGGCTATCTAAGAATTTTATAGAATGGAATCAAGTTGATTAAGATTCGATTTAGAAAGTGTATAAAAGTACCAGAAATAATGACTTTTTATTATTATTATTACGGAGTGGAAAAATCAGTTGATACCATGGGTAGCTAATGCTAATGTTAGGCTTAATACGTATCGACATCACTTATATCATAAGGCTACATTTCACTAGCACACTAAGAGCTTTAATCTCTGAGATTAAGAGCAAACTGTGTACTATATACACTTAGAGATGCACATGACACACCTTTAGGTTTATATACGGTTTGCATATAAAGAATTTAGCTCGTATACATATTTCATACTCTTATTGAATATTCTAAAATATATAAATAAAATTAAATATTTACAATACGTAAACGATACATGGTCAACAAAATTATCATGCGATCTTCTGCAACGTTCTGCTAAAACATACTACTCAGCTTGCCAGTTTAAAGAAAAGGGACCACTAGAGTTTAGAAATATACAACAGTCTTAAGAAATATCTAATTTAACTCAAGAGTATTAAAATCAACATAAATAACTACATGTAACAGTGCCAAATTGTACATCGTGTTGCCGCAGAGTTTCCATTTGCTCCACTTAGCTGTCAGGTGCAACTTTCAACTCCCACGCACCTCTGGCAAAATAACTTCGGTATCTATAGTTCATTAACGTTAAGGGATAGCTTGTAAATAGCTCCTCATACCCTTTACCAAGGAAAACTGCGACACAGTATGTAAATTTCTAAGATAGGTTAAGTAAATAAAATTATATTCCGTAAATTTGATCAAGGTCGGATGTTTGTTTTCATGCTAACATATATCAAACAATTTCATAAGTAACTAGCATGTATACATTATATATACCTTTGATATACCTCTGAAGAGTTTCGAGAGTTTCAATACTCTCGGAGCCCGGCCATGGGCCAGGCTCGTCTGGTGCTACATTAAAATATAAATATAATTATATATATATATATATATATATATATATATATATATATATATATATATATAATATATATATATATATATATATATACACTGAGGTACATTGGGAGATTTTTACTTATTTTATATTTTTAATAACTTTTTTTACGATTGTTTACATATATAATGTTGGATGGGCTCTTCAAGCAGGCCAATTGACGAACAAAATAATACCAGTTTATATTCTTAATTGTTTTCTTCCGTGTATATGCCTAGGGGCAGCAGTGGACGCAATCTTTCCCAATCCCCCCCCCCCCCACATTTCACTTTAATACCCATTTTTAGGGATTTAAGTATGCTTGAATTGTGGTGTGAAGGTGAAATGCAGCTTTAATGACCCTCAGATACCAGTCACTCGACAGCACCAAAGCTTCAATTCATCTGTATATTAACATCAGGAATGCTTTTGCCCCTAAAATAGATATTAAACCAGCCGGCCTTGGCGAAGACAAGGGAAGACATGATTGTGATATACAAAATCTTAGCAAATGGATAGGTCATATAGGTCAAAAATTTTTTTTATCTCTTCACACCTCTCGGTGTATATACTGTGTACACATTATATAACGTATTCTACGGAAGTGAGAGGACATTATATTCACGGGGAAGCGCTAAGCACATTGAGGTCATACAGCGCCTGGGGAATGAGGAATTCATGCCTGATCTTGGGAAGAGGTGGATACTCCATTTCCTTGGAACAAGAGGTAGGCTTGTGCAAGACATGAATGAACTTACCTGGTGGTGGGTCCTTGGGGGGCCCGAGGTGGAACTTTACCGCTACTCAGCCTTTCTTGCATTCAACAGACTGTAGTGTCGTCACTGCCAGTGAACAGTGTTTCTGACGAGGCATTCAACAGTAGTGTCGTCACTAGCAGTGAATAGTACTTTCGTGAGGCATTGAACAGACTCGTCACTACCGGTGAACACTGCTTCTCATGAGGCACCTTCCAAAAAAAAAAAAAAAAAAAAAAAAAAAATAAAAAAAAAATTTCCCCCCTCAGCACAAGTTGGTGTTCCTAATGAACATTTAACGTGGATAATGAATTAATCAAAACTTCACCACTGTCCGATGTTCCTCTGGGCTTTAAATGCAGCGGTTCGTATGAATTACTGCCTGTCACTTGTGAAGTCTATTATATCACAGACTAAGCAATTTAAAAGGTCTCACTTAGTGATTATATTGACCACAAGAATGACTCTTTCTCTGAGCACTAGTTACATCTATTACTCTTTCTCTTATACGTTCTCTTAGGAACGTCCTTAGTGTTACTTTCTTCATACCTTAACAAGTTATTAGTTCATAGCTTTAGTAGTTAGGTAGATGGTAATGGCTCTATTTAGTGTTATACACTCTTCCTCCACTTATTTTCCTAGTCAGTCCATTCACAAACTGTATTTTTCTGTTACTGTTACGTATTACTTTTAGAGCACTGTGTTGTTGATACAACAGCTTCAAGCAGCTATACCTGGTTTTACACTTTTTTTTAATTTTCATACATTTTTTTTTCAGCTACGCTTGAGTATCCTGTAAGAATGATGCATCTTACTGCACTTGTGATGATGTTGGTGTGTCACAGCAGGCTGCAGCACACAGCTGCTTCCTCAGCAGCAGCAGCAGTGCTTGTGAGAAGATGTTTACAATATTGGTTAAGAGCGGTGCAAGCAGAGAGAGCGGAGGAGCGACACTTCCTCACACCCCCGAGGCCACCGCCATACTGCTGCTCAGCTCAGCTGCACCGCTCACTAAACCCTCCTGGAGCCCACCACAGGTTTCAGAACCTACCAACATATTTCTGCCGTCTCCAACTTTACACTCACTTTACACTATGCATAAGAAATTCTTGAATAGGCGCAATGGATGACACAGCATGGGAGAACAATGGTGTTGGTTGTATCACCCAGGGATTGTGTGCTAACTCATCTATCCCCCCCCCCTTTTTATTTCTCTGGCTGGGTGTTTAACCAGCTTACTGAGCGTAAAATAAAGTTTTCAGTTGGACAAACAATGAAATATGAACAGTCATGAAGTTTCCGATTCAAGGAATATAATCGCGAATTGTTTAAATTCTTAACTTCGCTCTGATACATATAAGTTCTCACTTCACAAAACATACACACACACACACACACACACACACACACACACACACACACACACACACACACACACACACACACACACACACACACACACACATACACAAACATACACACACATACACACACACACACACACACACACACACACACACACACACACACACACACACACACACACACACACACACGCATACACACGCATACACACACACACACACACACACACACACACACACACACACACACACACACACACACACACACACATACACACACACACACACACGTACTCAGTTGAAAAACTTGAAGTTAAACATATGAAATGGAATAGATTCAAGCCTTGCCGCATGGTCCGGTAGACCTGCAGCTGGCCTACTGGACCATGCATACCTGTAGGTTACCTGTAGTCCCTTCCGGCCATTGACCTCGCGGCCCTGCCCCAAACCAGGCCTCCTGGTTGCTGACTTGATTGATCAGGCACTTGGTGCCGGCTACTCGCATTCCAGTGCATGAGTCACAACCAAGTTGATCGGAACTGATTTAAAGAATCTGTGGAACTGTCTTCTTGAAGAGAGCCACGGTTCTCTTGGTAATCCTTGCTTATGCATAAAATGAGAGAATTGAAGAGTTGTAGTCCCTTTACACTTATTGAATTCTCTCTCAGTGTACTCAACGCTCCACTGCTTTTTACCGGATTACTGTTATTATAGTTGGGAGAGCTAAACCCGTAGGAATTATATAGCGCCACTGTGGAAGGTGGGATGGAAGGCATTCAGGCTCAGTTCAGGAAACTGATGCACAGATCCAAATCCCTAGATCAAGAGCCCCTCACCAGCATCAAGGAACCTCCCTTGAGTGGACTTGTCACCAGGACCATCGTGCATCATCTGTCCAGCTTCTTGCGCTCATATGCAGCTTCTCTGGTGGGCAGGCTTGAGGTCAGTCCTTTTAAATCTTCCAGGTATGGATTATTGTGCATTTTTCTCGCCACGTTCTAAGGAGTACAGGTCAAGGGCCTTCAGGTGATTCCAATTATTTAGGTGCTTGACTGAGTTTATATGAATTGTGATGGTTCCCTGTATATTTTCCGGTTCTGAAATTTTGCCTGCCACAGGGTTGTTAGGAAGCATTTCTTCAGTCTCAGAGTAATCGAGAAGTGGAGTGATTTTGGTGAGGAAGTGTTGGAGGAAGGCTTCATACATAGTTTTAAGAGCAGGCACGATATGGCCCACGAGGCTCAGAAAGAGTAATCTGAAGAGTGGAAAGTGAAGAGGCAGGGCTAGCATCTAAGAGTCGACCCCTGCAACCACAAATAGGTGAGGGCACACACACACACACACACACACACACACACACACACACACACACACACACACACACACACACACACACACACACACACACATACACACACACACACACATACACACACACACACACACACACACACACATACTCACACACACACACACACACACACACACACACACACACACACACACACACACACACACACACACACACACACACACACACTCACAGACACACACAGACACACACATACACACGCACGCGCGCGCCAGCTATGTATATGAATAATGTATATTAAATTCTTTCCTCTCATATCATTTATTAAGCCTGTCTCTCTTGACTTCTTTTCAATTGGTTCAATTTTATGGATCCGTTACTCTGTGTCATTTCTTTTTCATTCATCTTGGCTTTTCCCACACTCACGTCCTCATCACTCCACTTACCTATCTACTTCCCACGCTTTAGCTGTTTTATCTTCTCGGTTTCCATCCTTTTTCCGGCACAAGCGCTCTCCCCCACTCTCTCCTACTCTCTATCTTGAATTTCCCATTCTTTCCACCAAATTTATTCCTCTCTTTCTCAGTTATCATTCATTCAGTCGTACAAAGCAGTCTTCTACCCCCGTCTCTCTCTTCTCTTCCTCTCATCTCACTGTTCGGCCCTTCAGTTAGTTGGATCATCGTTAATGATGATCCCGTTGGATCATCACCTCCTGCCCATTGGATTATCATCTACTGCCCGTTGAATCATCATCATCTACTGACGGGCAGTCGTCAGGAGTCGTTCATACGACTCCTGACGACTGCATATGTGTTTATATTTCCATTGTGTCGGTATTTTATACCATTTATTTTCATCGACTCTCTTTTAGATCGAATTCTCACAACATGCAAATATCGGGAAAATAAAGCAGATTAGCAAAGCGAAAAATCTGGAATACAACAAATTCTAGCCTCTTCCTGTTCTTCAGATGGATTTGCCTTAAAAAATTAATTGAGCATACACTTATAATTTATTTATTTTCTAGTTTGCATTTTAATTAGGGGAAGCGCTAGACCCGTACGGGGCTGTATAGAGCCTGTGGAATGGGAGGCATTCAAGTTCACTCCACAGAAGGGAAGGGTAAGTCTAGTTACTGGTAACTGTATCCTCATCGAATTATGGCTAACAGAAAGAGCTCAACCTGTAGGGAATCACACAACGCCTGGGGAATAGGAGATGGTTAGGTTTTACACAAGGAAGGGGAAGGTAGCTCTGACTCCTTGAAACTAAAACCCATTATTTAGAAGGAACCTAGTCAAATAATGACGATTACCATATTTCACTCTGCCAGACACTATGTTCCCCACAGACATTGCTACCACACATTATTATTATTATTATTATTATTATTATTATTATTATTATTATTATTATTATTATTATTATTATTATTATTATTATTATTATTATAGTAACCCGAAAGCGCTAAACCCGGAGGAATCACATGGTGCTTCTTTTAACATTGACATTTTCTAGCTTGTCAGTGTCAGTATCAGCTCCTGGTAGAAAGTTTTTAAAATTTCTCTCTCTGGCTGTCACACGCTGATCAAACTTCCTTGTCAGTGCTATCGTCATTGTTGATGGCTACTGTGAAAATTTTTATTATGTGAGCAAATCACCTGCAGGAGGCTTACAGGGCATTACCTGAATTATTGCCTCCAAGTAATTTGGGTGAGGTAAGTGGGACTTGAGTTACAGCAGGTTGCTGAACTGTACCTCCCTCGTTGCCCACTCCCTACCACTCTCACAAAACACTAGACCTGACATTAAATTAATAATTACAATATTAAAACCAACTACTCTGGTAAATTTGAATTACGTGGACTGTATGTTATTTTGGTTTACTTGCTGGGTACACAAAAAATATAACTATTAGTACACTACATATAATACAATAGTGTTATTAGAAAAGAAATTTGTATTACCACTTACCATTTAATTACTGTAGTTGCATCATGCCACAATGCCTACCTAACATTCAGAAACCTACACTGGCCAGCTAGAAATCTAAATGAAAGGACAATGGTGTACTTCCCTGTGTGAGTGATGGCATAGTCTTTTATTTGTTCACCATCCATACATAATTCTGGAGGTCCCGCAAATTTCCTGTCCCAATTCTTCAGCAGGGGACATGAACACAGGTTCCTAATTACAAATCCAAGCCAAAAATCCCCAATTGACCTTCGAAAACGCCCAATCACATTGCACAACTCGGTCCAATGTTCACACATTAAATTCAATATGGCATCTCCCTCCCCAGCGTCACTTAGCAGCTCTTCCACACCCCCCTCACTCGAAATTTCTCGAAAGGGTCAAATCAGCATTATCTTTTATTACACAATTATTACACTATTTATTTATATATTCTACATTTAGGAAATTATGTAAAAAATTTTCACAGCTATATCACATAGCATAAAAAATGGAAAGTCTTTCTTTTACATAAATCATTTAGTGTTCTATATCCATTAAAATGTTACCAGTGTTCATCTAGCAAGTATGACTCAGGTACTAGTGTTCATCTAGCAAGTATGACTCAGGTACTAGTGTTCATCTAGCAAGTATGACTCAGGTACTAGTGTTCATCTAGCAGTATGATAGTATAAGTGTTCATCTAGCAAGCATGACTCAGTACTAGTGTCATCTAGAAGCATTGACTCGGTACTAGTGTTCATCTAGCAAGTATGACTCAGGTACTAGTGTTCATCTAGCAAGCATGGGCTCAGGTATAGGGGGTTCATCTAGCAAGCAGTGCTAGGTACTCAGTGTTCATCTAGCAAGATGACAGGTACTAGTGTTCATCTAGCAAGTATTGAACTCAGGTACTAGTGTTCATCTGCAAGTATGACTCATGTTATTGGTTCTCTAACAAGTATGATCAGGTACTAGTGTTCATCTAGAAAAGTGTTGACTCAGGTATTAGTGTTCATTAGCACGTAATGACTAGTACTAGTGTTCATCTAGCACAATGTACTCAGGTACTTAGGTTCATGCTAGAATCTATGACTCAGGTACTATGTGTCTTCTTTGAGTAGGGACTCAGGTACTAGTGTTCATCTAGCAAGTATTGACTCCGATACTTCTGTTCATCTAGCAGTATGACTCAGGTACAAAGTGTCATCTAAGCAAGTATACCCCAGGTACCTAGTGTTAAATCTAGCAAGTATGACTCGGTACTAGTGTTCATCTATCAATATGACTCCAGGTACTAGTGTTCATCTAGAAGTATGACTCAGGTACTATGTTTCATCTAGCAAGTATGACTCAGTTTATAGTGTTCAT